ACGTGTACAATCATCATTGAACAAAACAAAATACTTACATCTCATTCTAGATAAAGTTGGAGCAGGACCCTACACATCACTATGAATAAGATGAAAATGTGCAGTTGTTTTATCTACTTGAGTCGAAAAAGGCAAACTGGTGCTTTTAATTCAAAGAACAACTAATACAATATTTATTGATACAATTCAAATCAAGTGCTTTATTTGGCAATGAACCAGAACGAAACAAAGTATCTAATTTATTTGCATTCGGATGACCAAGTCTCTGATGCCACATATGCCATTGTTTATTGGAAACAGAAAAATCAGAATTCGATAGATAAAAGAAAGAAGTATCATGGTTTGGTTTCTCAAACTCTACGGCAAACAAACGACCAATTCTATGCCCCTTCCCTGTCACTCTCCCAGTGCGTTGGTCCTGTATTAAACAACAGTAACAAGAAAATTGAACATTGTAACCATCATCAACTAGTTGGCCCACAGATATTAGATTAGCAGTTAATTTAGGAACGAAGAGGACATTACGTAATGAAAACGTGTACCACGGGAGATAAAAAGTGAAAGATTATCAGTACCAATAATATTCAGTTTCTCCCCGTTAGCGGTGAGAACCTGACTATTACCTTGGTATAGTTTAGTAGATGCTGGATTTGTGTGCACTCCAGTCATATGATTAGAGGCACCGGAGTCAATAAACCAAAGGAGATTTACACTAGGGGAGAGGCATACCAGACAAGCCCATAATGAACTAATCTAGGTTTATCAAGACAAACTTAAAATTAAAAACTATCATCAACTATCTATATCTCATCTACTATCTCTATCTCTACAACCACCATTCGAATTAACGAACGGTGAAAGTGGACGTAGCTCAACTTCAACATTTAGTGCTATAGCTCTATGAAAACCGAAGCCTTCTGTAAATAGATTATTAATAAAAAAGAATAAATTTTAAAAGAGTGTGGTTTCTATAAGGTTGCAACCTTAAACAATCTAATTAAGGCGCCCCTCCAAATTTTATCATAACATGTAATTTTGGTGTAAAACATTCTTAGGATTAACTAAAAATGTATTTTCATATCTAATTATAAAATTTTAAACTCCAAAAATGGTTAAAATCATGTAGATCTATAAACATGTGAAAATCTTGAAAATTGACAGTCTAGATAATGTGTTGTAAGATGTACTATTTTTAGGACTCAAAATCTTTCTTTTTTTATACATTCATATATCTTGATGTCGAGATGATCAATTAGAGGGTCTTTCAATATTAAAACAACCTCTTTCGATGGATTTTTGAGGTATATCTGTAATTCTATATTTTAAGGTTGCAACCTTACATAAACTTTTTCCATTTTAAAATAATTTACCCCAAATATAGCGATCAAATAAATAAAGTTTTTGCATTTAAAAAGATCAAGATAAATTCTCAAGTTACATAGATATATTCTTCTAACTTCTTATTTTTCTGAATTTTTATTTTTTAAAAAGTAGTATATATCAATTTAAAATATATATCTTTTTAGTATAATTCGACTGGCGCCAATCAATTGCGTCTATGCTTGGCACACGCAGTGGACTGGAATGGTCCCAGGAATCTTCCGTCTGCGAATTGTTTGGAGTGCGATGGCTTATAACATGAAGAAAAATATTTATATAAAGCCGAGGCTCTAAACAATCAAATTAAAGCCACCACAAAATTTTCATTAGAAGTAGTTGTTTTGATGCCCAAATATCCTCAAATTGATCATCTTGATATCAAGATACATGGACATGAGCAAAAAATAGATTTTAAGTTTCAGAAATAGTGCATCTTGTAATGCATTTTTGGATCATCGATTTTCAAGATTTTCAAATTTTCATAGATCTGTTCGATCTACACTATTTTTTAAGCTTTAAATTTTATAATTAAAAATGAAAATATATTTTAAGGCTATCACAGAGATTTTCAGTATTGAAAGCACATTTCTAAACACCATTTGAAGGTATGTTTTACTTTGATTGTTTAGAGCCTCGGCTCTATACAAACCGCACCCCAACATAAATGTTTCTTTTTATCCCTTTCTCTATCTTTTTTTTTGTCATTCCCTTTCTCTTTCACTGGCTTTGGCAGGTTCTGCTTCAGGCGATACCATATTTATGGTGCCGCATCTCATATGCAATGTGCAAATAACATACTAATTTTTTTGCGACATCTCTGAGCAACATATTCACTATTTAGGACTATTCCAAGCATTTTTAGCAAAATCGCCCAATCTAACCGTTAACTGCCCGATTAGATTGGAACCGGCTAGTTTCCGGTTCCGATTTTGAGCGGTTATGGTGATCAGTTATTTTTTAAAAAAAATTTGAAAAAATGGATATAATTTCTCAAAAATAAAGAATTTGATTTGTAATGCATTTTTAAATATTCTTTACATTATGGTAAAGACTAAAAAAAATTTTTGGTCATTAATACTCACTTTTATATTTTTTCATCTTTTTTAGAAAATTTTAAAAATGGCCCTTGGAAAATATAAAATGGGTTAAAATCCATTTTTCATTAATTTTCAACTTTGAATTTGTTTTGTTTTAATCATTTTTATATGCTTTTCATATTTTAGTAGACTTTTTTGTATTTTTTTTACACTTTTTTGACCACCCAGGACTTGCCCGGTTAGAGCAGTTGCATCAGCCGGTTTACCGGTTAGGCCGGTTAAACCGTTTTCAAACCTATGCCCGGTTAACCGTTCCGGTTCGATTTTACGAACACTAATTCCAAGAGTACAATGAGGCGGTGTCGTGCTTGGGGGTTGAAATGAATACGATAAGTTAACTAGGGTGGTGAGCCACAAGAAGAGATTAAACATATTTAGCTTGCTTGTGCGGTGGGGCGCGGACATATTTTTAATAAGAGAATTGACCAACTGGTCCAACTAGTACCTTAACTGATTTGGACTAAAGTAAAAATATGGTTTAGTTGAAAATAAGTCAAAACCAATACCTGAGTAGTTCCATAGGTCCAATTGGTTAATTTTGACCAGTTAGATAAGCCAACTAAAGCTAGGCAACTTTTATTTGTATTTTTTAAAAAAATATTGATTTTTAGTTATATTTTTCAAATATGATCCAAACATTTTGGTTGCATCAAACCTCACAATAGTCGACAATCTGTTTGATACTGTTAATTCTGCTAGAAACCATTTTGGATGGGGAAATCGACATATTCCAAAGGAAGCATGACATTTAGAAAATAGATTTCTCGTCCTTGGGGGAAGAATCACGCTCATCAAGTCTAAGCTATTCAAATAGCCAATCTAATATAGCACTATTTAAAATCAATGAGAAGTCTCTGAAAAAAATTCCGAGTTGGGATTGGGTGTCTACACCAAAAAGAAATTGTGACCGGGGATAAGAAACATATACTAATGAATACTGCACCCTCCACCAAGTGGTGATGGCATTGAGTTTGAGATATCTCATATCTTGAAAGATGTCATTTTGGAAAAATATGGAATGGAGTGGAGTGGATTGGGGCCGACAATCAGTAAATGTGCAGCGGGGACAATCATGGACAGGACTGCTAGCATATGAGAATGTATTCATGCAAATTGTCCTCTCTTCACCAAATACAGTTGTTCACTGGTTGGTGATAAAAATTCACCATCTTTCGACGGACAAATGGTCAGGGAGAGGTCCCTTGTCCCTCGATTAACCGGATTTTTTGCCAGAGATTCCCCCAAGAATGCATTGTGAAAGACATTGTCTCTGGGAACCCATGGCAGAATGATCTATTGAGTTGAGAAACATGGGGTTACATGACCTACATGACCTACATGTTGAAATATATTGCAAGCTGCACCAATTTTATTACTGCCCTTGTAGAGAAGATGCCACCATTTGGGAGCCTAACCACAAGATTAGTTCTGTGTTTAGATTGTTGGGTATATGTGGCTATTAAAGACCTTATATGTGGCCAACTTTCATAGATTGCTTTACGGCCACGGAGCCCAGAATATCTTTGGTAAGAGTATTGACAACATGATCACCCCTAGTCCCACTGAAGGCTCTACTTTTGCCTAGCTTCTTATTGAACAAAAACCCTTACCATAGATCTCAAAGACTGGTCGTTGATTGTAGTCACAGCATGGCTGTTGTGGATGGAGACAGAAAACAAACAAGGTCATTCGAAGCAAGGGCTACCTTCAAGAATACACTAAAGATGATGATCATTTCGTTGGCCAAAACGAACTATTGGCATTTCAGCTCGCTCACTTTTCACTTCCCATTTAATGGAAATTGCTTACTCATTTGCCTCGAGTACATAGATAGAAAAGTTGGAATCCCTCGAATGGTTCAATTTGTTGTAAAATAGGGATGACGTAAAGATGTTACTATTTATTTACTTTTTTTTTAATATGATGTGAAGTAAAATTTGATGTATCTTTTTATTTATTTGATTTGATATAAAAGAAGAAAACAAATTCTTTCATGTAGTCTATAAATTGTACCTCTTGCATTCTAGCGAAGCAAGCGAGTTGTGAAATCAAAATTGTCTTGTGAATGACATCGTTTTTTTCGTGTATTAATCCGAAAGTCCGACTATCTTTAATCATGTTCCTAAAGCGAGTGAGTTCACTGCGGTAAAGTACTGCTCAAGATGACTATTGGGGTAGATTACGTCACACCCAATAGGCTAAGTCACTCCGGCAACTTGATGGGCCCATCTCTTCTTCGTAGGAGTCATATGTGTAGGAGGGCTCTAATAAGGTGGTTATATCATTTTATCTCCTTCCCTACTCTTCTCTCCCTTTTCTTTAAAAAAAAAAAGAAAGAAAAATTCTATATCTTTCATTTAACATTTCGTCTAAGAAGTCACAAAATGGCTTTGCCTCTCTATCTATTTCTATATCTCCCCCTTGAAAAAATAAAACAAAAAAGTATGGTGTGCTTTTTCTTTTTTTTTCTTTTTTATATATATAAAGGGGAAGAAGAGTAAGGAATGAGGTATGAAGATAGAACTATATTATCGAGCCGCTCTTACACATGTGACTCCAACGAAGAAGAGATGAGAAAGAATCATATCTAAGATGCCTGAGCGACGTATTCAAACTTTCGGACCCGTTGGGTGTGATGCAATCTACCCCAATAGCCACCCTGAGAAGTACTTCACCGTAGTAAACTCAATTTCTTTAGGAACACGACTAACAATAATCGAGCACTCAGATTAGCACATCAAGAAAATGATCTCATTGAATAAGCAATTTAAAAAAAAAAAAAAACACTCTCTTGCTTGCCTTCAACCAAAATCTCCGGCTTTGATATTTTCACTCTTTTGCACAAAATCTCTCAATTCAATCCGCATGAAAGGCTCTCTCTCTCTCTCTAAAATGACTAAGCTAGAAGGCTCTCGCTGGCTTGGGTCTCAATCTCTCTTACCATATGCTTTCCAGGAGGAGGTCCATGGGATTTCTAGTACATACACAGGCCCAAATAAATGGGTGGCAAAGGGTCTGGTGGCCCGGCCTAAAATACTAGGTCTTGGGCCACAAAATACAAAGGACTGGGCTTGGCCTAAAGCAAGAGAGATAGGCCTAGTTTGGCCCGGTCCTTATTTTTAAATCTTTTTTCTGCAGATTTTCTTTAATTTTACCACCTTGGGAGGGCCCGGCGACTAAATAAATCTGATTAACTTCTTTTAGCTCCCTTTTTACTAGGGACAATAGACCCATGACCCGGGACATGGCGGGTATACCTGACAAGGGTCCAGGTATGGATTCAACATTTGGACTCGGAGGGTTGGGTCGGGTTCCAAAACTTGGACCCGAACGCTATTCAGGTCCGGATGGACCCGACTCGTACCTATGAATTATTGGAGATAAATACTTGAAGCCCTATTTGTTTGGGTGTATTAAGACTCGTATACAATAAGAACTGTCAGTCATCTTTCACTATTAAACGACTACTCAGACCGCTTGAAAGCTAACGGTGGATTATTGTGACTTTGTTGATAATAATATGAAAAAAAAAAAACTTATAATGAGGGTAGCAATAGAACCAATCAAATCTGGGACCTGACGGTATAGACCTGGAACCCGATGGGTATAGGTATGAGTCCAACTTTTGGACCCAATGGGTTGGATCCGGATCCAAAACCTGGACCTCAATACTAATCGAGACCGGCCCATGCTGGACCCGTTGCCACCCTTACTTTTTCATTCGCTCAAAAAAAAAAAAAATTCCTTTCTAGAGCCTTTTTTATCAGGGAAATTGCGCACTCTTTCTCGGTTCTCTCTCTCTCTCATATTCTGCCCTGATCTCGGACGTTGGTATGCCAAGGAGCTGACAGAAAGACGAGAGAGCAACACAAGAATGTCCATGCCATCACATATCTGCTCAGGTACACCCACCCACCACTCTCAAGTTTCCATCTTCCTTCCTCTCTCTAAATCAATTGCCCTTCCTCTCTCTAAATCAATTGCCCTTCCTCTCTCTCTAACTCCAAAAACTTATATCTATGCAGAAGACCCTGCAACTGACTCTGATACTCTCTCGGATGGTCCCGACTACGAACCCATTTCATCGGAGCCCGACACTTCTGAAGATTCCTCCTGGATCAACAATGGCGAGTCATATTACCCAAATGAGCACATCTCGAGCCTCAGTCTGCACGATTCGAACCCATCTTCACCAATTTGCAATGGTTTCTCTGAAACAGAATTGGGAAATGGGTATTTCTCGCTCATCCCCAATGGTAATATGATTGAACAAGAAGCAATAGAAGAGGAAGAGAAAGATGAGAGAGAAATAAATGCTTCGGAGTCAGCTATATCAACTGCCTTTCAAGAAGATGAGGAGCGACGCAATGCCCCCTTACCGGCAGAGAGAAGCTCGGCAATAATCGATGCCATGAGAGGGGTTTCCTTTCATGGGTCGCCTCCTCCTTGGGTTGATCGGGTACCTGAAGACCGGTGGCTTGAAATATTAAGGCGATCAAGATAACCTACAAGCGAAAATTGAAATTTGAGATGCTCTATTTGGAAAATACTTTTCCCCTTATTGGGTAAATTAAAAATTTGTTATCTTTACTTTAATTGTTACTTCTCTTTGCTTTGTTCTTGGCTTCTTGTCATTGCAACTTGAAAGTATGGGCAAGTTAATTGGAAGTTTTTGACACATGTCGTTTTTCTCTGTGTTTGCTTTAGTTGTGACTGGTTTTATTTCTACAGTTGATCTTGGCTATGAAATTGTCTTTGTGGCCATTGTCTTTCATGTGTTTTACGAGTATGATTCGTCTTTGCAATCAAATTAACTGTTCTGGTACTTTGTCTTTCATGGTTTTGTGAATATCATTCATCTTTGCAATCGAATTATAGGTTCTGGATGTTAAGAAGTTTATATTGTGTTGTTTCTTATGTTATTGTAAAAGAACTGGTTTTCTTTTTAATTCCCTTTGGTTAAACTATTCTTTGTTATTTATAAAGTGAACTAGGTGGGTGCGCTTTTGTTTGACCATTTGTTCATGGTTGGAGTTGTGGTTCTTTTATATGAATGTCTATGATTTATGGAAAGATAGACTAAGAGGAAGACTTCAAAGTGGAGTATTTTCGTCTAAAAAATTAAACATTACATATCTCTTCATTTTTTCGGAAGAGATGTGGATAGAAGTAGTGAGAAAAGATATGGTGACTTTTGCTTATACCGAGGGTATGCCCTTGATAGAGAATAATGGAATAACAGGATTCATGTAGGGGATCCCAAATAATTAGGATAAGGTTTGGATGATGATGAGGACGGCTGTTCATTTTTTTTCTTATAATACAACTAATGGAATGTTGGACTGATGAAATTCAAATGGTCCATGTATTATTTCTTGGGCTTGGTAGTAGCAAGTTTCACCTTTTAAGCACATGGCATTTTAAGGTCCCGGCATTCTCTGGTGTCTTGTCAAATACTTGCTGTGAATGTCCTAGGCCTCTCTGTGAATACCATTTTAAGGTACCGATCAAAAAGAAAAGATATGAGTTTAAGGAAGGGGTGTTGTTACGCTTTGTTATTGATAAAGTGAACTAGGTGGGTGCATTTTTGTTTGACTATTTGTTCATGGTTGGAGTTGGGGTTCTTTTATATGAATGTCTATGATTTATGGAAAGATAGACTAAGAGGAAGACTTCTAGTGGAGTATTTTCGTCTAAAAGATTAAGCATTACATATCTCGTCATTTTTTCAAAAAAGACTTTGATAGAAGTAATGAGAAAAGATATAGTGACTTTTAGTTATACTGAGGGTATGTCCTTTGATAGAGAAGAATGGAATAACATGATTCATGTAGCCGACCCCAAATAATTAGGATAAGGCTTGGATGATGATGATGACAGCTCTTCATTTTTTATCTTATAATACAACTATTGGAATGTTGGATTGATGAAATTCCAATGGTCCATGTATTATTTCTTGGGCCTGGGAGTTGCAAGTTTCACCTTTCAAGGACATGGCATTTTAAGGTCCCGGCATTCTCTGGTGTCTTGTCAAATACTTGCTGTGAATGTCCACTAGGACTCTCTATGAACACCATTTTAAGGTACCGATCAAAAAGAAAAGATAGAGTTTAAGGAAGGGATGTTGCCTTGTGGAATACCTGAGCTTAGAGAATGTGCGTCTACATTTCTATTTTCCATCTCTTTAATAGGGTTTCTTTATAAGCCATTTTTAGTGGAGGTAGCTCTTTTATATGAGTGTTGCTGGAGTTCTTACCAGTCATGCTCGATTTAGGGGATAAAGTGGGGGAAACAAATCATCTGGAACTTCTAGTTTCCTTCCATTACTTGGAGGGGATTGAGAAAGAAAAGGCAATTGCAGTACGTTGTGCAGAAAGTCCAATTCTTGGTTGAACCTCAATTTTTAATGGTTGCAGTGAAGGACCCCAGTCTGACTAGTGAGGAAGATGTTTTTAGGGATGCTGAGGAGACAATTTACTTCTTGCCTTGTGGGTTTTGGAGACCTACCTGTTTGATGAAGGCCAACACTTAATGGAATATTTTATCCTTTTATGATCAAAGAGGATTGGCTTTGGCAGGAAGATGAGTTTCCATGGTCTCAAATGGGATTTCTACTGCATTCTTGATTTTAAACAAGGATCATTGTTAACAATTTGTAACTGACAGTGAGAACAAGTAAATGGCTATAGGTTGATTTTGACCTTGCACTAGGCTATGTTGGTGGACATTCACTATTTTGAGGAATAGTCTCATTACCTTTATTTTTGGGGCATCATTTGGCTTGTGAACTGCTCAAAAAAAAGGGGAAAACGAATACCTGCAACATCACTTCAAACCAATGGTCTCATAGCCTCAAATAATTATTGTGGAAAAATGATTTTGATTTGGTGGGTATCAAGTTTCCAATTATTAGTTGGAACCAATCAATCAAGAGCAGAAGGTGCTAGGCTTTTTCACTAAATGCTCTTATGGTAAAGAAAATGCTCGCATCTTAAATCATCAGAACTAACCTTTTGAGAAATAGAAAGTTTCAGCAAACTCTGGCCATAATCAATCTTCATTCTTTTTGCTTATTTTCCATGTTGCAGAGAAACCTTAGACATGGCGTAGATTATCTCATGTTGGTGAGGAGCTCAAACATCACAATTGGGTGGGCTTTTCATGTTCGCTGTACCTTACATGAAAGATGTAAAGGCACAAGCCTTTTCTTTTGTACACTATTTATATAGACCACCTATAGCATGCTCCCGTGGGAGCATATTATATAACAACTCCTAGGGCAGAATAGCTACTGGGAAGATTTTTTTTATTTTTTTTTTCAAAATTTTGGGATTCATCTGAGTATCACTAGATGATTATTTGAAAAGAAAAAATTAGAATTTTGAGTTCTTAAATATCTTAATCTTTCCCTCCAAAAATTGGACAGTTCCCATGTAATCTTGGGATGTTATTTTTTTAAGGTCTATAGAGAGCCAAGGTTAAAAAATTTTTACCTTTGAAGTTGGTCGCTAGGTTATGGAGATTACATCCCCAAAATTTGGGATCTAAAAAATATTCCTAGCATAAGTTTTGCCTAAGCGACTAAATGGATAGAATACTCTCACGGGAGTATGATATATATATATATATATATATATATATGGGAAAATATATTTGTGGAGTCTATTTTTAAATTTCATTTCTTTCTCCATAGACCTTAAGTTTCAAAACCTATCTTGAAACATAGAGATTCTTTCTTTTGTATCTTCTAATCCCCTGGATGAAATTTACCCATTTTCACTTATCTTTTTAGCCCAAATAAATTTAAAAAAGACATTTTTTCTAAACCCCTTCTCTCTCTTCACGTTTCTCTCTCCCCTGTGAATCTCTCCAACCCCTCTTTAAGTCTTAATTCCCTTCTTACACTAACAACCTCATCAAGAAGCTCTTGAGCCGCCTTCAAATTCTTCAAACCCATCAGAACCCCTGTAAATTTGATGAAACAGAGTCCACAGTTCCCTGTTTCATGCTCTGAGAGACTCCATGGCCATTTGTATGCCATTCAATGGTTGTTGGGAAGAAAGATGCAGAGAGAGAGAGCCCCTGTTGTGTTTGATCAGACGCCATGGGCTTCAAAATACCCATATGAGAAATCGTGATTTCCTGAACAAGTTGGCGATGAGAGATTGAGGATGAACTGTTCATATTTGCAATTTGGGGAGGGTTGGTATTGGTCTAAGATTGATCAGTTTAATGGAGAAAGGTGGGTTCATTGCCCTATTTCCTCCATTGATTGTATTGGTGATGGCCTGAAATTCGATAGGCAAGCAAATTAGGGTTTATTTCAGGCGGATGCATCTGGGGTTGTTGGTTTGAGTTTTGAGAGAGATTGGTAACAATTGTCAAGGGATTTCTATTAACATGATTTACGAGCACCACGTTTCCTGTATAACCCACATATCCTGGGTTCATGAGATAAGAGGGTTTGGAGATTATACTATAATGGGTTTGTCTCATTTTGTAACATCCAGCGGTTGGAGTGGTTGATATTTTTTTACAGTGGCTAACTGTAAATATGTTCGAATAATTATGAAGAATACTTATGTTATTGCTGTAGGAGATAATGGATATACAATTGTTACACAGGTTTTCAGTTGGCTTCTCACTTGTTATGGAATTTGATTAAACTGAGGTGCCAGAATGCTTTCACGAATACTAAAACTTGGGTTCTGATTGATGATTCAGCCATGCTGGTTGTCGGCTGGGATTCTTATTCTCAGGCTTTTCCTTCTTTCTTATTTTTTTTCTTTTTGTTTTTCTAAGACTGATACAACTCCATTGCCTGAATTAACCCTCTCTTCCCCATCATCTGCATCATAACTCTGGTCTTCAGAGACTGCAATCATAGAGGAGGAGAAATTAGAAGGGCATCCCCAAATTTAACCTCGTCAACCATCTGAATGCACAAAAGCGAGACAGCTATGCAAAACCCAGAGCAAGAGAGAAAGATGGAACTTTGGTATTCCATGTATCTTAATTCTTAAACAAAAGAAAAACACCTCTAGAAAGAGAGGGGTTTATAAAAGGGTGTCGTTTTTAAATTTGTTTGGGCTAGAAAGAGAGGGGTTTATAAAACGGTGCCGTTTTCAAATTTGTTTGGGCTAAAAAATAGAGGTAAAAATGGGTAAACTTAATACAGGGGTTAGAAGATATCATAGATAGAGTGTCTATGTTTTGAAACTTTGGGTCTATGAAGAAATGAAGCTTAAAAATAGGTTTTGTAAAGATGTTTTCTCTCTCTCTCTATATATATATATATATATATATATATATATATATAGTAATAAAAACTAAAAATACGTACCTAGTAAGGTTAAATCGTACTAACTAGTTATTTCGCCTCTGTACACG